TCCTTACCCATTCCAAATGGTCACTCTATCACCACTATGGGGAAACTGCTCTTTATCCATCTTGCTAAATCAGGTGTTCTCATCTCTCCCTATCCAACCTATGAGCATAATTTAGACCCAGTTGACCTCTCTCTGAAATGCTTTTTTCTCTTCGTGTTCCTGATGCCACAGCCTTTTGGATTTCTTTCTGCCTCACTGGTTAGTCCAGTTCCTGTGCTTGCTTCTCTAGATGCTGGAGTACTCCTGGGCTCCCTTTCTTCTCTATACCCTCTCCCTAGGTTGGTTTCCTCTAGTTCTGTGACTTTTAATACCAACAATATGCTGACATAGTTCTAATTCCTTTCCTGCCTTCCAGACGCAAACAAGTGCCTTCCTGAAATCTTCACTTGGATGATCAAAGTAATTCCAAGCTTAATATAACCAAATTGTGCTCCATTTCTGCCCTTAAACCTGCTCCTGCCAAAGTCTGCCCCATTTCAGAAAATCGTACCATCATTTGTCAGTTGCTCATACCAAAAACATAAAAATGATGCTTGATTGTGTAGTTACCTCATACCCATATTCAGTTCATCAGCATATCATGTTGGCTCTACCTTTTAAATATATCCTGATTTCAGCAATTTTGTACTACTCCCACTGTTACATCCCCAATCCAAATCACCGTCAGCTCTTGTTTGGACTATTGGATAGAGTCCAATAGCTGGTCTTCCTGGGTTTCACTAGGATTTTTGTCCTTAAGTCCTCAAAGCATCAAGAGATTTTTTAATGACAGCAATCTGTTTACATGACTTCCCTGCGCTTGGTACCCTAATGACTACATTTAAATACTTGCTACTGAGTCTTGCATTTGTTACACAGAACCTGTGATATTCTCTCAGAAAGATGGTTTTCCTTAGACTCTTGGCAAACCGACAGTTCACAGATAGGATTTATAGGGTTTGTTTGTTTTGTCTACACAATGTTGGCCTACTTAATTTTTTAAAAATTAGAAGATTTTACGCTAAAGAAACAAAAACAACCTAGACTTTCCTTCTGAAAAGTAAGGAGACCTGACCACACAGCTCTGTATTCATTTGTGGCTGCAGTGTGGTAGGTAGTGGCTGACCCCCTTTAAGATGAAGCACGTGTTCTCCAGTTTTCCACAGCTCTCTCCATCCCCCAGTGGATCTGGTAGCCAGCCAGCCACAGTTAGGGAGGTAACCTGCCTTTTGCGTTTATGATCTTTACCCTGGAGTAAGTCACTTATTCACTCGACAAATATTTATTGAACAGGAGCTACTCTGTGCTAAGCACTATTCTAAGCCCCTGAGGTAAAGCAGTGGATAAAACAAAGTCCTGATCTCATGGATTATATACATTCCTTGGAATAAATAGTTAATGTATAAGTAAAAAAAATACACATACAATATCAGGTGGCAATAACTTCTGTGAAGAAATGACAGCAGGGTACGGGGATATAAAATGGTGTAGGGTACTGTTTTAGAGAGAATGCACAGGGTCCTTTATATGAGGAATTGACATTAGAACAGAGGCTGAAATATAGTAAGGGATGGAACCTTATAAATATTTTGAAGAAAATCATTTTGGAGNGCCACCGCGCTTCCCAAGCGGCGCACTATCCAGTGCGCCAGCGGGCCGGCCCCTAATGTGCTATTTTAAGAATAGTATTTTTTACCTCGCTAGAGTTTTAAGTCCCTCAAAGGTAAGCACTTCCTTCTTCCCCTTTGTATCTTAAATAGCTAGTACAGTGTCTAGAATATAGTAGATGAGCTTTAGTAAATGGTGGTATCCCCAATCTGGTGAAAGTCTTCTAGATGACATCCTTCAGCACTATGACCCTGGTGCTTTGCTTCTATAGAGATTAAAAGGGGGAAAACGTTACATTTCTACTTTTTTTTTTAATTGGTGGCTGGCCTGTATAGGGATCTGAACCCTTGACCTTGGTGTTTATCAGCACCATGTCTACTATTTTTTTACACTTGTATAATGGTAAGGTTGTCAAATAAATTTTGTATTATTGTTATTATTTTCCTTTTTTTTTTTTTTAACAATTGTTCAGTGAATTAAACGATTAAACACACACAGTGTCCCACTTTTAGATGAGAAAAATACAACTCAAAGGAGTTAAGTAACCTAATTTTACTTAAGGGCATGTTCTTAGTAGGTGGCAGCTCTGAGGCTAGAACCTATATCTTGTTCTACCAGATCTTTCCATGGTACTGCCCTGGAATTTTGTCAATTAAAATAGTTATAACTCTTGACATTAACAAGATGTTTTACATTTTAAAACATCAGTATTGACCATGTGAATTTATTTTTATGATATGGTTTTTAAAGGTTACTATTTTTTTACAATAAGATTAGTTTTGAAAGCATCAAGAATTTCAATTAATAGATCCTTTTAAAGGAAAGTAGTACTGTGTGCCATATGCTTTTGTTTGTAATTTCATCCTTTTGCTTTTGTTGTTTTAATACCTGGCTCTTGTATGATCTTTATAATTTATATCAAAATGAACTTTCTGTGTGTAGCATTAATTAATAGGAAAGAAATAAATACTAGACACAGCTTTTTTCTCCAAATATTTTACCTAAAAATAGATTGTTGTATATGCTCAGTAAGTTAATTTAGCGCTTCACCTTGCATATTTATAATCTAATATTTCTCTAGGTTTGCGTTTGTTTTAATTTACCTTTTTTAAAATCTTAGAGTACTCGAAGTCGACAAGGAGAAGAAAGAGATCCAGAAGTTGAACTAGAAGTAATTGAACTTATTTTCTGGTATAATATCAGAGAAGTCTACCTCTTAATGTTGTAGTGTTATGAACTGCGTTGTAATTTATGGAAGCCCTTTTTAAGGTATTTCTTTAAAAATTGGACATTGCAAGGGACTTTATTTCCCTTGTATTTATTTTGATAGAATGATAATACAACTCTTTCAAATACATGATTTCAAAACTCTTCAATATTCCTGTGAGGTAGGAAGAAAAAATGAAGAAAACATCTTTTACAGATGTTGCATCAAAGCTTGCAAAGGTCAAGTACTTGCACAGTATCAGAAGTTCTTGGACCTTTGTTGAGATACTGAATTTTCTGACTGAAGCACGTTTTTTTTTTTTTTTTTTTTTATTTTGTCAATATACAATGTATGTGATTATTATGGCCCTTCACCGACACATCCCGCCCTCCTCCCTCTGTCCCCTCCCCCCCAAGAATGTCCTTTCCGTTTGCTTGTTGTAACAACTTCAAAAAAAGTATAGTTGTTA